TGAGCGGCTGTTGGAAGCTTTTACGGCCGCGGGTGCTACTCGAAGAACCAGGAGGGGCCAGAGACGCCTCACACTTGTTATCAGTTCAACTCCGGGAAACCATGACCTACACCTCCAAGAGAAGAACCAGAGACCAAGAGATTTGGGGCTGTTGATAAATAATCTTAGCAGGGATTCTTCTTTTCTCTTTGTACGTAAAACTATCTAATAACTTTTATGCATTCCACTTTATTCAGGTGGCAGCTGGCTGGCAGCGATGACAAGGACCAGCGGTGCAAACCTACCCTTAGTCCAATGTTTCTGTCGCCAGGAACCCTCCCACTTCCCTTTCCTCCCGCCCTGGTAGCGACTAATAAACCATGTTCTCCATACACTTGCCCTTTCCTGTCTTAAATACCGCATTTTTGCATAACTAGAAGTGCATGCTTTGGGTCTGGTTTCCCCCCTGCAAACAGCAATCACTCACGAGCCTCCTTTGCCCAGTACAGAAAGGTACAGCCCAGTGAGTGATCCCAAGCGACCCTTTCTCTTTCACTGTCCAGAATTAGAATCAGAACATCCCAGACTCCTGGAAGCCCCCCCCCCCGCCCCCCACCCATAGCCTTCATCTGTGCATGCCCCAGGGTAACCCCGATCCTGACTCCTAACACCACAGATGAGTTTTGCTGCTGTGCGAACATCACATGAATGGAGTCATGGTATAGCGGTTCTCCAAAGTCTGGCTCCTTTGGCTCAAAGTTAACTTTTTGAAGATTATCAGTGTTGAGAGGTGACAATGTGTTTGTTTTCATTGCCGTTGGTGTTCCATTGTGTGAATCCAGCACACTTCAGCCCTGCATTCTACTATCAATGACCATTTGGGTTCCAAGTTTGAGGCACTGCAAAGGGCTAATGAGCTCAGCAACTAATCGAAAGGTTGGCAGTTCAATTCCAGAGGGAGTTGCCTTGGAAGAGAGGCCTGGTAATCTACCACCGAAAGAAATCAATCACTGCAAAGCTCCTGTAAAAGGAGCACAGTTCTCTCTGGCACACGTGGGGTTGCCATAAGTCAGGGCCAACTGGTTGTGTGTGTGTGTGTGTGTGTGTGTGTTTATAGTGCTGCTCTGAACACCTAATCCATGTCTTCAGGGGCACACATGTTCGCATTTCCTCGAGATGTGGGAGCTGGTGGTTGAGGGTGGCCCTGCATTGGCCCTCCTTATGCAACCCCTACCCCACCCCACCCCACCCCACCACAATAGTGCACTTTCCTCTCCCCCACTGTCTGTGGAGAATTTGCCTTGGTGGTTTGGGAATCTCCCAGGAGGCCCTCTGGCTTCCCTCTTGGGAAAGGGCAGGGGGCACAAACCTGCCATCGCCTGTTGCCTCCAGGGCTGGCCTGGACACAGCTGCTGACAAGTGTCTGCCTCAGAGGCTTTCAGGTAAATCCTTTTGTAGTTAAAACCAGACCCTGCAGCAGAGGCTGGGAGCCTCCAGGCTGCCCCTTAGTGATCACCTGCTCATCCTGCACTGGCTCTAACTCAAGAAGGCAGTGGGAGGGAGTGACTCAGAAATGCCACCCCGGGTAGCCACTGCATCTCTCTCTCTGGCCACTATCTCCTGATGGCCTAGCATGGGGCCCAACAATAGAAGGTGCTCAATAAAGACCTGGGGGGTTGAATCCCACTTTCAAAATTACCATGGAGCTCTGGTGGCAATGTGGGTTAAGCTTTAGCGTCTAGGAGAGAAAGATAAGGCTTCCCACTCCTATAAAGACATAGAGCCTCAGAAACCCTATAGAATAGCAGTTCCCAACCTGTGGGTCGTGACTCCTTTGGGGGTCCAAAGACCCTTTTACAGGGGTCGCCTAAGACCATCGGTATGAAGACCGTTACCCATGCTACACCATGCTTCAAGACAAAATTTCATTTATTTGTCATTAGAAATATTTCACAATATGTAATGACATTGTTTTGTGATTAACCACTATACTTTAATTATGTTCAGTTTGTAACAATGAAAATACATCCTGCAGCCA